CTAATATGCATTCATCGTTTGAAGATCAGCACTTCATTGATTAAACTATTTTCCACTGACCTTCGCTCCCACCTCCAGGTCACGTTCTGTGGTCATTCATTAAAATTAATTCCTTCTGGCCAGGTGCAGTGGCTTATGCCTGTAATCCCGGCACTTTAGGAGGCTGAGGCAGGCAGATCACTTGAGGTCAGGAGTTCGAGACCAGCCTGACTAACATGGAGAAACTCCATCTCTACTAAAAATACAAAATTAACCAGGTGTGTGGTGGCGCATGCCTGTGATCCCAGCTACTCGGGAGGCTGAGACAGGGGAACCACTTCAACCCAAAAGGTAGAGGTTGCGGTGAGCCGAGATTGTACCATTGCGCTCCAGCCCGAGAAACAAGAGCGAAACTCTATCTCAAAGAAAAAAATTAATTCATTCCTTCTACACAGACTCACCTCTCTGTTTCATATTCTTATTCATGGGATTCTCTTGGAAGCCCCGTCCCTGCAGGGCTCTGACTGCCTGCTCCATCCCTCACTCCTGGAGCCGCAGGTGGTTGGGGAGAAGCAGTCCCCCCTCCACAGCCTGTTCCCACTCTAACTTCATGGTGGTTCCTCTCCAAGGACGCTGAGCAGAGCCTGGAAACATGGCCAGCTCCTCCGTTCTTTCTCCCTCCAATGCACGTGGCTATGTTTCACATTTCATATCCTTGTTACTACAAGATTACGATTAAATTCTCTAATTGGCTACTTAATTCAAACACTTACAACATTACATCATACGGAGAAAAAGAGAAAGAAAAGGCAAATAAATTTTTTTTGAGATGGGAGTCCTGCTCTGTTGCTCAGGCTGGAGTGTAGCGGCACAGTCTCCTCAACCTCTGCCTCCTGGGTTCAGGTGATTCTCCTACCTCAGCCTCCTGAGTAGCTGGGGTTACAGGCACCTACCACACCTAGCTAATTTTTGTTTTTAGTAGAGACGGGATTTTACCATGTTAGCCAAGCTGGTTACGAACTCCTGACCTCGTGATCTGCCCGCCTCGGCCTCCCAAAGTGCTGGGATTACAGGCGTGAGCCACCGTGCCTGGCCAAAGTGTTAATGTTGCTAGGAAAATACCTCAGAATTGTGAACCACCTTAAAGCATCTTGATTCCTCCCGGAGTTTTTGAAATACATTTTAGGAAAAGCTAAACTAAGAGATATACAGATAATACATGAAAGTATAAATGGAAGCCATCTGAATATAAAATCAGAAGGTTATTTTAAAGAAAAACAAACTGTGGGACATCCACATCACCTTCCTGTGCTCTGCAGCTGCATTTGGCTGGGCCAGAACAGCCCTTCCCTCACTACCTGTTCCTGCCCTGTTTCCATGGTGACTCATCTCCGAAGACCCTGAGTATTGCTAGGCAACCAGATCAGCTCCTCCATTCTCTCCCCTTCCCCAACTCATTCCTACTTTGTTTCCATCCTCATAGCTGCAACCCTTCACTCAGGTAATGTTAAATTTGAAGGAAACACAGCATGTTTGACATCTGACACACCATGGAATTCTCTGAGTTACAGGTGTTCACAGTGTCAACAGTTGCTCTTTCACATTTCCTGTGCCGACATCACATCTGTCTGTGTGATGCTGAGGTGTCCCTGCTTGCTGGGAAGAAAACCAATCGCCACATGAAAACTAACAAAGGGCTGGGTGAGGTGGCTCACGCCTGTAAAAAAATAATAAGGTCATTAGGGTGGGTCCAAAGTCCAATATGACTGACATTCTTTGTGTGTGCGTGTGTGTGTGTGTGTGTGTGTGTGTGTGTGTTGCAGTCTCACTCTGTCTCCCAAGCTGGAGTGCAATGGCATGATCTCAACTCACTGCAACATCTGCCTCCTGGGTTCAAGCGATTCTCCTGCCTCAGCCTTCCTAGTAGCTGGGACTACAGGCATGCACCACCATGCCTGGCTAATTTTTGTATTTTTAGTAGAGATGGGGTTTTACCATGTTGGCCAGGATGGTCTTGATCTCTTGACCTCATGATCCGCCCACCTTGGCCTCCCAGAATGCTGGGATTACAGGCGTGAGCCACCATGCCCGGCCTGTGAAGGTGTTTTCTCAGTGACCACAGAAATATATTTTCTCCAGGCTAGGAAACAAAAGAGGCAAAGTGCTTTAAAGAGGAAGTGCCAGCTTGGTCCAGTGGCTCACACTTGAAATCCCAACACCAGGAGGCCAAGGCAGGAGCTCAAGGCCAGCCTGGGCAATACAGTGAGATTCCCCCATCTCTACAAAAAATAAAATAAATATAAATGTTAATACCAAGGAGGCAAAGGCATCACACAGACAGGGGCTCAAATCCCAGCTCCTCCACTTGCAGCCTTCTAAATCACAGACAAATCACTTATCCTCCAGAAGCCTCCGTCTCCCCATGTGTAAAATGTGCGCTGCAGTGTGCTTGGGATGTAAAGAGGTGCTAAGGCGACTATCGCAAAGCGCTGCCAACCTGCGGCTGCAGCAACAGACATGCATCGTCTCACAGTTCTGGAGGCTGGAAATCTGAAATCAGGGTGTAGGCAGCGTTGGTTCCTTCTGAGAGCCGTGAAGAATTTGCTCCAGGCCTCTCTCCTTGGCTTGCAGACAGCAGCCTTCTCCCTGTGCCTCTTCCCATAGAGAGAGTATAGGCTCTCTGTGTGTGTGTCTCTGTGTGCAAATTCACCCTTTTCAGAAGAACAGCTGTCATACTGGATTACGGCCCACCCTATTTACTCATTTTAACTTCATTACCTCTGTAAAGAACCTATCTCCAAATAAAGTCACATTCTGAGGTATGGGGGTTAGGTTTCCAACATATGTTTGGGAGGGGGGACATAAATAAACCCCCAACAGGTAAATGTGGCTTTCTAAAGAAAATTGTCTTAAAACCCATATTTAAAGGAAATGAATATTTGAGCTTGTGGGAAGTAGAAAAGTTCCTTTTTAAAGTTTCCTTTCTTGTCAAAGAATAAGTGTGCTACTAGCTCTTTGCTTTTTCTTTTTCTTTTTTTTATTGTTAAAAATATTTGGTATTTTCTCAGCTATTAGCTCTTTGTTAAGCCCTGTCCTATGTAGCTGTTGGACATGCTGCCCTTACGGGCACATAGTACCTTCTATGTCGTTGTACTTTAACCAAGATGTCTGTGCTGGACATGCTCACAGGCATGTCCCACCTCTCCATTGCTTTTACCTGTTAAGAAAAGTTTTAGTTTTAAGTTATTAGCCAATCAGGTTTTAGTTTGGATTGTGAGGTCTGGCTCCAACCATCTGATCTCCAAGATCAGATACAGAAGGAAAGACGCTCTCAAATGCGTAGGGGATAAATGTGTGTGTTCTCCTTTGTTCCTTGTACTCTCGTGGCACGATGACTAGCCTGAGTGCCCTTCCTGCAGTCCAGGAAGTAAAAATCACATTGCTAAAAAATCCTTTGTCTCAGTGCTAATTTTTCTTTGCAGCACCGAGCATCTATTTCCAACAGAGCTGTTTCTGTCGTCCATCCTTTGAGGAAAATGTCTCCTCTCATGAAGCTTCCAGAAGGAAGAGGGAAACACACAATGCCTTTGAGGTCTATATATAAATAAAATATGAACTGCGAAGAAAGTATGGTCATTGATTGTGAGATACCACATGACTTTATGTAGCTCCAAGGGTAGCCTTGGAGCTACATAAAGTCATGTGGTATCTCACAATCAATGGCATGTTGGTTTGGTGAAATGCATTTTTCTTCCCATTCTATGTTCACACATTTCTCTGCTTTCCCAGTTATCTAAAAAGGATCTCATGCCGTTTTCCTAATTATCTAAAAATGATCTCATGGCCATTTTTCTAAGGGAACAATTTAGGAAAGCTAACAGAATTTCTTCAGAGAAGGCAACTTAAAGTATTGCTGGCCAATAGCAAATACCATGTGCATGTCAACTATTAATATTAAAATTATTTAAGGCCAAGGTGGAAGGGTTGGAGTTCGAGACTAGCCTGGGCAACATAGTGAGACCTCATCTCTACAAAAAATAAAAGTTAAAAAAGTTAGCCAAGTGTGGTGGCACATGCCTGTGGTCTCAGCTACTTGGGAGGCTGAAATGGGAGAATCACTAGAACTGGGGAGGTCGAGGTTGCAGTGAGCCGTGATTGTACCACTGCATTCCAGCCTGTGCAACAAAGCGAGCCTCTGTTTCTAAAAAATAAAACTGAAAAGTAAAATGAAATTATTTACGTATGCCAATGGATTTGCCACCTTCTTTGCAATAGACTGCAATGACATCAACTACCTGAGACCAAAACAAAAGTGTGGGTTGCAAACTCCAGCACCTGCCTTTCTAGATTGTGCAGCCTGCAGTAAGGGACTTAGCCTGTCTGAATCTCAGGTGCCTTCTTTCTTCTTCTTTCTCTTTTTGAGACGAAGTCTCTCGTTGTCACCCAGGCTGAAGTGCAATGGCATGATCTCAGCTCACTGCAACTTCGCTTCCCGGGGTCAAGTGATTCTCCTGCTTCAGCCTCCCGAGTAGCTGGGATGACAGGCGTGTCACGCCCGGCTAATGTTTTGCATTTTTGGTAGAGATGGGGTTTCATCATGATGGCCAGGCTGGTCTCGAACTCTTGACCTCAGGTGATCCGCCCTTCTAGGCCTCTCAAAGTGCTGGGATTACAAGCGTGAGTCACCGCGCCCGGCCTTAACGTTCCTTCTTTCTGAGCCCATGGGCTCGGCTTCATCCCCTGAGCAAGAAAAAAGTCCCACGCCTGAGTTACTGGCTGCACCCACTGCCCTGCACTAAGGCTGTGGTGGGCAGGGCTCTGGGCAGCCGCCCGGCCCACCTTGGGTCCCCAGGGATAAAGGCCCTGCGGACCCAGGCGGGCAGACGCTTAGCCTTCTGGGAGTTGTAGTTTTGACAACCCAGGCTCTGCAAGCCTTAGTCGCGGTGCCGGCGAGCGCGCAGCGCCCCCTGGGAGTTGTAGTTCCTAAGAGTCAGGTGGGACCGATGCGCAGGCGCAGTTCGCCCAGGCCCGGCGCGCCGGCTCCTCCTCCGCAGCAGAAGTCTTGACCATCTCTCCTCTGAGGAAGGAGGCCCAGGGTCTGCGATGGCCCAGGAGGACCCGAGACTGAGTAGAAGCGGAGGCGACTCTACTAAGCTGGGAGGGGGCCGGCCAGCGCGTTCGGAGGTGATCCTGGAAGGTGAGAGCAACGGTGTGTAGTGTGCGCGTGCGACCGCGTGTGAGCCCGTCCCCGAGTGTCACTGCGTCTGCACCTGCTCATCAGAGGTACCAGCCCATGCAGGTGTGTGACTCCGTCTGAGCACCGTCCCTGCGTGTCGCTGCGTCTGCACCTGCTCACTCGGGGTGCTATCCCCTCACTGTGTCTGCACGTGCTCACTCGGCGGTGCCAGCCCAGGCACGTGTGTGACTGCGTGTGAGCCCGTCCCCGAGTGTCACTGTGTCTGCACCTGCTCATCAGAGGTACCAGCCCGTGCAGGTGTGTGACTCCGTCTGAGCACCGTCCCTGCTTGTCACTGCGTCCGCACCTGCTCACTCGGCGGTGCCAGCCCAGGCAGGTGTGTGACTGCGTGTGAGCCCGTCCCCGAGTGTCACTGTGTCTGCACCTGCTCATCAGAGGTACCAGCCAGTGCAGGTGTGTGACTCCGTCTGAGCACCGTCCCTGCGTGTCACTCCGTCTGCACCTGCTCACTCGGGGTGCCATCCCCTCACTGTGTCTGCACGTGCTCACTTGGTGGTGCCAGCCCCTCACTGTGTCTACACGTGCTCACTCGGGGTGCCAGCCCGTGCAGGTGTGTGACCGCGTGTGAGCCTGTCCCCGAGTGTCACTGTGTCTGCACCTGCTCACTGGGCGATGCCAGCCCAGGCAGGTGTGTGATTGTATGTAAGGGCATGTGACACTTTATTAGTGTGTTATGTGCCCATGTATGTGAAGTGGTGTCTGCGTATCACAGCGTGTCCCACACACGTGTGACTGACTTTGGGCAAGTCTGAAATTTCTCCTGGACATGAAGTGTGTGATCCCACGTGTGCATGTCTGGGGGTGCCACCGTGTAGGCTGGGTGCATGTGACTGCCCGCACAATGACGGGTGACCTGGGTGTGTGTGAGCCTGTAGAGTGCCATGCTGCCTGAAGTGTGTGCATCTGCACATGATGGAGACGCTGTACACGTGGGCTTTGGCCATGCTGGAGCTCTGCCCACCAAGTGTGACTGCATGTGTCCAGGCTTCCCCTGTGTGTGTGTCTTGGAGATGGCCGGCCTGGGTGGGGCAGGTGGTGTGTGCAACAGTTTGCTAGTCTCAACTCCTGGGATCAAGCAACCACCTTCCTTGGCCTCCCAAGGTGCTGGGATTACAAGTGTGAGCCACCATGTCCGGCCTGGAGACACTTTTCATCGTTACAACTTAGGGGGTAGGGGGTGGTGTCCCTGGCATCCAGTATGGAGAGACAAGGGATGCTGCTCAACTTCTCACAACACACAGGATGGGTCCCACCACGCCAAATTATCAGACCCAAAATGTCATTGGCACAGAGGTCCAGGAACCCCATGCTAAGTCCTTCCCAGTTCATCTGTTAGCCATTTTTCCAGCTCAGGACAATCTTTAATTTTTTTTTTCACCTTTTTTCTTTCGGACCCAGAGAAGAGATGTGAGATCGAGACAGCAGCTCAGGGATCAAGGGTGGAGGGACTCTTGAGCGTTGCCCTCCAGGGCGCGGAGTTGGAAGGAAACTGGAAACAGGCGGGCAGGCTTGAGGACCGGCAGGAAAACAAGGAAAGCTGTCCAGAGCCGGAGGCCATGGCCTGCAAGAGAGACCCTGCAGGGGACGGCGTCCAGGAACGCAATGAATTACCCCGAATCCCAAGAACTATATTGAGTCCAACTGCTACCCAAGCCAGCGTCCCCGGCGACAGCAGGCCAGGCAGGTGCACGCAGGTGAAGAGACCAAAGTGGAAGCCTTCTGACAGCCGCCCGCCTGAGAAAGGCGGCGGCCTGGGGAAGCCGTGGAAATGCGAGGACTGCGGGAAAGCCTTCAGCTACTGTTCCGCGTTCATCTTACACCAGAGAACCCACACCGGGGAGAAGCCGTTTGCGTGTCCCGAGTGCGGCAAGGCCTTCAGCCAGAGCGTGCACCTGACCCTGCACCAGCGCACGCACACGGGCGAGAAACCCTACGCGTGCCCCGAGTGCGGCAAGGCCTTTAGCCAGAGCTCCTACCTGGCGTCCCACTGGCGCACGCACACGGGCGAGAAGCCGCACCGCTGCGCCGACTGCGGCAAGGCCTTTGCACGCCCCACGCACCTGACCCAACACCTGCGCGTGCATACGGGCGAGCGGCCCTATGAGTGCGCCCGGTGCGCCAAGGCGTTCCGCAACCGCTCGTCCCTGATCGAGCACCAGCGCATCCACACCGGCGAGAAGCCCTACGAATGCGCCGAGTGCGCCAAGGCCTTTCGCTTTTCCTCGGCGCTCATCCGCCACCAGCGCATCCACACCGCTGAGAGGCCCTACCGCTGCGGCCAGTGCGCCAAGGCCTTCTCGCAGATCGCTCACCTGACGCAGCACCGGCGCGTGCACACCGGCGAGAAGCCCTACGCGTGCCCGGACTGCTGCGCGCCCTTCAGCCAGAGCTCTTCGCTGGCCGAGCACCGGCGAATCCACACCGGCGAGAAGCCCTACGCGTGCGGCCGGTGCGCCAAGGCCTTCACCCAGGTGTCGCACCTGGCGCAGCACCAGCGCACGCACACCGGAGAGCGGCCCTACAGCTGCCGGGACTGCGGCAAGCGCTTCGGCAACCGCTCCCACCTCCTCCAGCACCACCTCGTGCACAGCGGGGAGCGGCCCTGCAAGTGCATGCAGTGCGGGGCCGCCTTCAGCCACGTGTCCTCCCTCATCCAGCACCAGAAGATCCACACCGGGGAGCGGCCCTACAGGTGCAGCGAGTGCGGCAAGGCCTTCAGGCAGGCCTCGTCGCTCACCCTGCACCTGCGCACACACACGGGCGAGCGGCCCTACGCCTGCCACCAGTGCGGCAAGGCCTTCAGAAATCGCGCCTACCTCATCCAGCACCACATCGTGCACACCGGGGAGAAGCCCTACGAGTGCGGCGGCTGCGGGAAGGCCTTCAGCTTCTCCTCGGCGCTCATTCGACACCAGAGGACGCATGCGGACAAGAAGCCCTACTCGTGCGGCCCTTGCGGGGACGCCTTTGCCCAGCTCCCACACGTGACTCAACACCTGCGCGCTCACAGGGAGGGGAAGCCTGTGAACAGGGGTGCCCTGGCAGAGACCCGCATGGACCAGAAGATTAAGAGATGAGGTTAACTGGGGCTGCGTACGCCAGGCGCTCCACTAAGTGCTCGCCCCGTTTCCAACCTCACAATGCCATTGGTGAGATACTCTGCTATCCCCAACGCCTCCAGTGAGGAAACCGAGGCTCCAAGAAGCTTGTTAACTTGCCTGAGGGCACACAATGGGGAAAACATATGGCTGGGACTGTATCCCACATCTGCCAGACTCCCCGCGTCTCCCTGGTGCAAAATTTTAAATGGGGCACAGACAAGTAGATCTGCAGAAACACCTGTGGCTGGCTTTTTCTTTCTTTTCTTTTCTCTTTCTTTCTCTTTTCTTTATCTCTCTCTTTCTTCCCCTTCTTTCCTTCCTTCCTTCTTTTTCCTTCATCCTTCCATTTCTTTTCTTTTTTTTTTCTTTCTTTCGACAGAATCTCCCTCTGTTACCCAGGCTGGAGTGCAGTGGAGCGGTCTCCAGACACTGCAACCTCCGCCTCCGGGGTTCAAGCAATCTCTGGAGTAGTTGGGATTACAGACACCCACCACCACACCCTGCTAATTTTTGTATTTTTAGTAGAGACAGGGTTTCACCATGTTGGCCAGGCTGGTTTCGAACTCATATCCTCAGGCTATCTGCCGGCCGTAGCCTCCCAACGTGCTGGGACTGCAAGCATGAGCCACTGCACTCGGCTGCCTGGCCTTTTCATTGTTGATTTTGTTATTGAGTAAGCACTTGCTCAGTAAATTTAATTGAATTAAAGGAATAAAACGTTTGGTTACTTTGGTCAAGTTGACGTCTTTACTAAAGGAGCAAAGTCTAAAGGAGAAATCTGGATTCACCAAGATAGAAACGGTGCTTAGAGAAAATGAGCTGTCCACCCTGCCGGCTGGACATCTAATACAGTCTCCACACTCATCTTCCTGCCTCCACCTTTGCGCTGCTACAGTCCACTCTCTACCTTTTACTTGGGCAGTTGGCTTATGCCTCAGGGCCTTTGCAGCTGCTGCTCTCTCTCCCCTTATTTCAGCACACTTGTCCCCAAGGTAGAACAAGGATGCAAGTTGCAGATGTGTGTGATGAGAATCTGCCAGGTCTCCCACTTTGCCGTATGGAAGAGATGATCACAGGGTCTGTGATAGCCATCCCCAGCCATGTAGAAAAAAGAGGGAGGTCAGGAGAGGAAACGTCCCAGTGATATTTTTGGGTTCCCCAGAACCAGCTGTAAATAAAGCCAATTTTATCCCAAACTTTGGTATAACATGAACCAATAATAATCATTATTATTTTTGCTTACGCTCATTTGAATTGAGCTGCTCTTATTTGCAGTAGAATCCCAACAAATGTCATAGTTAAGGTCTGTTTTCCTTTTTTTTTTTTTTTTTTTTTTTTTTTTTGAGACAGAGTCTAACTCTGTTGCCTAGGCTGGAGTGCAGTGGTGCAATCTTGGCTCACTGCAACCTCCACCTCCCATGTTCAAGCAATTCTTCTGCCTCAGCCTCCTGAGTAGCTGGGATTACGGGCACATGCCACCACCCTGCCTAATTTTTCTGTTTTTAGTAGAGACAGCGTTCCACCATATTGGTTAGGCTGGTCCGGAACTCTTGACCTTGTGATCTGCCCATCTCGGCTTCCCAAAGTGCTGGGAATATAGGTGTGAGCTGCTGCGTCTGGTCTGTTTTCCTTTCTTTTAAGGGCTGGTTGCTTGTTGCAGGCAATCAGCCTGAGCGAGGAATGGAGAAATAATCCCATACTTTTCCCTGTTAATTTCTCTAGACAACCTCATATACACAGACAGAGAATTTTTTAAAAGAGTAGAATGGTAATATCAACCAGTATTAGACAAGTAAAATTTAAGGCAGAAGATTAAATTGATTGGTGACAATCATTTTTTATTTAACAAAGGATTCAGAATCAGGTTTTAATTAACATTTATTGAGTGCCTACTATCTGCCTGGCTCTGTGCTTGGTGTTTTACGTATATTATTTAATTGTCAAGGACATAACAATGCTGCACTTATATGCATCGAATTACACAGCTGCTGAGTACGTAAAGCATAGATTATAACATTTATTGGCAAAAACAATTGTACTAGCAGATTTTTGCATAACCTTATTGGTTTTTAATGAATACAGTAGGCCAAAATTAGATAACACATGAATCTGAAGAATATAATTGATGATACTGAGTTAATTAACAGGCATGTAGAGTTTTCAATTCTACAGACAGAGAATATATTTTCATCTTAAATGTTCATGAAACAATTGCAAAAAGTGGACATGTTCTAGGCCACACTAAAAGCTTTTTTAAAAGTTTTGGAAGCAGATGTATTTTAGGTCACATTCTGTGTTCACAGTGCAGTAAAACAAGAAAAAAAAACTATTTTTAAACAAAGAAATAAACCAAATCACTGATTTTCAAAGTATTATTTAGAAACACTACAATGTAATATTTAGACAACCTAAACAAAAATGCATAATCAAACATTAAGATGTGGCTAAGGCTATATCCAGAAGTACATTTGTATTAATAGGTATACTATTATAAAAAAATATAAAGAATATAATCAAGTATTCAACATAATGGAGACAAAGAAGAAAAACAATAAAAAATAAACACAACACATATTAAAGGAAAACAAATTATAAATAAAAGAAATAACAGATATAAATGAATCTTAATGCTGGCTCTTTGGAAAAACAATAGTAAACTAGATAAATCCTTGACAAATCTAATAATGAATAAACCACAAGCAGAAGTTGACAGGATAGAGGGGATAGAACAAAATAAAGAGAACATTTTAATTATAAAAACAGTATGCATAATTAAGCTAATAATATGAAACCACTCTATGGAATGAAAAATTTTCTAGAGGATAAAAGAACTCTATAAATCACCAAAATAAATGCAAGAGGTTAAAAGTATTAATAAATTGATAACATTGGAAATAACTGAGAAAGCTGCCCAAGAATTAGCTGAAACGTTCTCTCCATGGCTCTATGACCTGGTTATAACAATGAATTCTTTTAAAATGTCAAGGGTCTGATACTTTTCAAGCTACAGAAATATTCAGAAGCATAGAAAAGGTAAAAGTTATCCAAGTCTTTCTATGAGGCAAACTTAACCATGATAATCAAACTTCACAAAGATAGCACCAATCTCACATATGAAGATAGAGTCAAAAATCCTACATAAAATATCAATAAATAGAATTTAGAGTATGAAAGGACTGGTGCACCACAACCTTAAGAATGCAAAGTGGGCTTGATGTTAGGAAATGTACCAGATTTCATCGATCTTCAGTTGCACATTTTTTCATCTTCTCAAAGTCAGGAGTTATCTTCCAGTTGGTGGCATCTTATGAATAATTAGCATTTTTCTTTCTCCATGGTATATAAAATAATGTTTTACAATCAATGATGTCTTCATTTCATGGAAATAAAGTATGTGAAAACTCACACCAAAAATATTTTTTAAATCATCTCAAAGGATGTTTGAAAGGCATTTGAAAATATTCAACACCCATTTCTGATTTTTAGCACACTTCCGTAACATGACACAGGGCATCTATTTCATTGAATTAAACCTTTAAAACAACAGCCACCATTGTAGTTAAATGTGAAACATCATAGGCATCCCCGTCAAAACCAGGAACAAAAAAAGTACGCACACTACCAAGACTATGGTTGTTTGTTGTGGAGCTTTTGACCACTCCACAAAGCCCTGAAACAGAAAAAAGGAAAAGGATAAATATTGGAAAGGAAGGGACCACCATTGTTACTTGTAGGAAAATAGAATTACATGACTGAAAATGCAATGTCATATCAAAAGAAAAGCTGTTTGAATTTAAAACTGTACAACTGAGTAACTAGATATAAAATAAACATGAGAATGTAATGTGTCTATTCTCTATCACAGGAAATGTCAGAATGATGGGATGACAATTTGAAAATCTTATTGGTATATTAAATCTCAGTTTCAACATACCATCTATGCTGTAATGACTCCACCCCCTCAAGAGATATGTGTGTGTGTGTGTGTGTGTGTGTGTGTGTGTGTGCATATGTATGTGTATTTGTTGTCCCAACGCTATATCTCACTGCCTATTTGCCATCTCCAATTGGATATCTGATGGACATCTTAAACTTCACATGTCCCCAAACAAATAGTCTAATGTAACCCCACCAAAAAAAAAAAAAAGGTCCTCATGCTTTTTTTTTTTGGTGGGGGGACATTAGAATATTGGTTTGTTTTCCTCACATTACCCCTTCAGGCTGTTCCAGACCTTCAACTGTGGCATCCCTGACTCCGCTCTTTCTGTCACCACCCACATTTAAGACATCAGCAAATACTGTTGGCTTTATCTTCAAAACCTCCAGAATCTATTTCCCTTCACTTCACTACCACCACCCTGGTCAAAGCCCCTGTCATCTATCTTGTACTCTTTCTACAGAATTCAGTTTCTTATCTCGATAATCCCACCCAACTTCTTCTCCATGGGTCAGTCAGAGTCCTCCTTCCAAAGTGGATGTCATTCCTTGCCTTTCTCACTCTGTTCCAGCCACAGTCATGTCCAAGCCTTTGCAGTTAAACGAGTTCTTCTCCCTGGAATGTCCTTCCTCCAGATACCCTTAAAGCTTTCTCTGTTACATCCTTAGAAAACCCTTCCCTCACCATCTATGTAAACCAGCATGCCCTCCACAACCCCTTCCCACCAAAGACCCTGCACTATGCATGCTTCTTGTCTTTTTCCCTCATGTGCTTATCGCCACCTGACATGCTAGATAGGTCTAGTGTTTCTTCCTCCAGTGACACTAAGCACCAAGAGGGCAGTCCTTTGCTTTGTTTGCTACTGTATTCCCAGTGCCCGGAACAGACTATGAGCTCTGTAAATATTTGTTGAATGAGTTAATAAATGAAAAAACATACCATGATGAAAGATGAGAAGAAAAAATGTTTAACAATGACAATTTTCCAAATTAATGATGAATTTAGTGCAATTGCTCTTAAAATATCAAGGAAGTTTGGTGAATGTACATGACACAATGGATTATCTGGAAAGTTAGTCAATGGTGAACACTGAAAACAATCCTGTGAAAGAAGAAAAATGGAAGGAGACATGCTATGAGTTGTTAAAGTGTATCATAAATCATTGATGGAATTCACATTTCTAATCTTTGGGAAAAAATTCCTCCCTTTAGCCTGCTGATTCCCTCTGGATGACACCTCATTTCAAATCTTGCTTTACAACCAGATAAATGACCTACTAGGGACATTGACCCGCTTAGGCACTTCCCAAACCTGGCAGAGCACCAAAAGTTGTTGGGAGAGTTTTTCAAATATCTTGGGCTCCTCCTTGGATTTTCTGGTTCACTGCATCTCAGGAGGACCAGAGAATGTGAATTTTTATAAAGTTCCTCATAATCCATCCATAAAATTGAGCCAACTCAACAAACATTCATTGTAGCATTTCCTTCTGTAGCAATGACAACAATGGCAGCCTAACAATTCATCAGCTAAGGAAATGGGTCTGACACAACCGAGCTATAGAATATTTGGCAACAGTAGACCATGCGAGGTGGCTCACGCCTGTAATCCCAGCACTTTAGGAGGCTGAGGCGGGTGGATCATGAGGTCAGGAGTTTAAGACCAACCTGGCCAAGATGGTGAAACCCCATCTCTACTAAAAATACAGAAATTAGCCTGGCATGGTGGCAGGCACCTGTAATCCCAGCTACTTGAGCAGGAAATTGCTTGAACCCAGGAGGCAGAGGTTTCAGTGAGCTGAGATCACACCACTGCACTCCAGCCTGGGCAACAGAGTGAGACTCCATCTCAAAAAAAAAAAAGAATATTTGGCAGCAGTAAAAAGTAACTTTGAAATACAATAAAGATCATCAACATGTATTAAATGGAAAACTGTCCAGGATGAATTAAGTGAAAACGCCAATTGGAGGAATAAAAATTTTGCCATAATTTCCTTTTTTGGAGTTAAAAAAATATACATGTAGTTTACTACATGACCGTATTTAGATAAAACTCAACAACAAGCAAAACTAACCCATGCAAGTGGAAATCAAGAACTGTAGTTGCCCACAGGGCTGGGGAGTGAGGCGGGCCAGAAGGGAAAATGAGAGAATGTTCTAGAATGACGACAGCACTTCGTACCTTGATTGGGGTGTTGGTTACACAGATGTACATGTGTCAACAATCCCTGGTTAGTGCATTTTATTGGAAATAATTACACTTCAATTTTGAAAAGCAGAATATAAAGTTAAGAAAATGTAATAAACACAGGTAATCTGAAATCCAACAATTTTACACACATCACACATAATAGACCCAGAGATGCCTCACCTAATTCCTCTTTATGACTGTTTTTCAGGCTGGTGCAGATCTCCCCTGGATGCTAGAGGTACTGGTTGCTAGTTGTATGGTTTACAGTTTGTAGTTGCTTCTCCTCTTTTGACAAATGCCCTTTGCTAATGAGATCTTCCTTTCTAGAGGATTACCCAGGAGGTTAACTCACCTTCTAGGGCAGTCCACACACAACAGCAACTCACATGGGATACAAAAGGCCACTCCACTGACTCAGAGGAGGACAACTCTCTATTCACACTCCAGGGTTCCCCTGGGATAAGACAGAGTCTGGTCTTCAGTTCAACCCATATATTTGCCTGGCTCCCTCTCCTTCCCTCGCTCCCCGCTGGACTTCACCTGAGAGCACAACCCTCAATCAGTCACTTGCACACAGATCTCTATTCTGTCTCAGCATATAGGGAAACACGTTTGGCAGGATATACAGCAGCTTCTTCTTCTTCTTCTTTTTTTTTTTTTTTTTTTTTTTTTTTTTTTTTTTTTTTTTTTTTTTTTTTT